AATAAGAAAACTTAAAATCTAAGTGGTAAAACTTTGATGATAACTTTTTTTATGTCGGTTCTATTGTAGTTAAATAACTCATGATCAAAAGATTAATATGTATTTTTAATAACAAAAATCAAAAAATAGAAGACTTGTATTTGTTTTGTATTATATAATATTATTGTATTCATTTAAAATAACTATAAAATAATGTAGGTATATCATTGACCTAACCTATTGTTGTCCTAAATCGTCATCAACTACTCGCCAAATAAAAATATTAATTAACAATAGACGATAGTAATAAAAACAAAAATAATTTATTGTAAAAATCCAATCCAGAATAGATCAATGTACAACTCGCTTAAACTCCCATGCGTATCAAAATTAAAATGCCAATAAATTAACTGCACATAAGAGGGGATCTGAGAGACGAACCTTTTTTGTGCCGATCATCCAAAGGGCAATGGCCTCAGATCCGGATAACAAAGCGCCACCAACACTTTGGCTACGTCCCTAAATTTTAAACATATTCTAAAAAGATTCTAAACAAATAAAAATTTACTCAAGACAAACGTGTGTTCAGTAATAATTTGTAAAATTAAATTACTACATGTTAGTGATCACAAACACAGGAAGAAGATTAGAATTAGAATATTTAATAGAATTTAATACCTATAGTAAAGTAAAATTACACAAACAATATATTATCTTACTTTCATCTTTTTTAGTTGTAACTTTACATTACTCAGCTCATTAACACAGTCTTCGACCTCCTGACCATCATTCAAAGTATCCTAATTAAGTATATCATCATATCAATACAAATAAYATAAAACTCAAAGAAAATCAATAAGTAATGGCTAATGGCAAACCTTTTCTAGACATACATTTTGTTGAGTTTGAGTCAGGATTATAGGATTTTTGTCTGAATTGGTTTTGTGTAAGTTTTGAATATTTTCTGTAACAGCACCATACAAATTATGGTGTGTTTGATCAGTTTCAGTCTTCTAAACATCCATATAAACGTAAAAAAATATAAATAAACAGTATTATTTTATTTTTTGAAAAATAAACCTTATCTAAATGTAATATGGATTGAGTTTGAGTAAGAACATCACAAAAAGTCTTCTTTATATGATCAATAGAAGWTTGATCAATGGTAGTTTTAGTATTATCTTGTACAGTTCTAGACCTTTTAAAAAAATCATTTTCCATTTCAAGTTCTTTGATTCTGATATGTGCTTCGTCAAGTAATGGTTTTAATCCRTAATACCTGCAAGAACATACATATCACATTACAAAATTGATATGGTTTCAAATGCAAT